AAAAGTACATTTGAAATCTTGGGTTTGTTAAAGTATTGTACCAGTTTTCCTGTCTCAGTAATTTTAGATCCCAGATGATCCCAGACAAATACCTTGTATATAATACAAGTCAGTACAATACAGGAACAGGCCCTTCAGCCCACCAAGCCTGCACTGATTCTAATCCTTATGTAGACCTGCGATTTATTGCCCATGCAAAGTCTTTGTCCCTCCGTTTGCTTCCCATTCGTGCAAAAGAATCTCCAAAAAGCCAACAGTAAGAAAACTGGTTCCCAAGATTTCAGTTTCAAAACTTTCACCAGAATGAACCAACTGAAATCAACATGTTACAAACACTAATTAACACGCAAAAGACATTTCAGACAAGTATTAGTAGTCATTACAATCAAGATAGGCTTCATGGAATTACAAGCTGTCACATTACCTCCCACACAGATGTGGGAGCAGGTTTGCTTTCTTGGTTTCCACTATGTAGGACCATTGCCATACCACTTAATTGTTTTGGGTCTTGAGACACATTCACTAGTAGCCGTGAGCATTTGATAAGCCTGGACATATTTAACACTGACAAGACACTGTGGGAATGACGAACCCAATGCAGCAGTGAGGGAGGTCCCCAGCATCTGTGGCAGCAGCGGGAGCACACAACCCAAGGTCTCTCAGAGAGCGGGCCAAAGCAGAGGAGATCGAGCCCTTGTAGGGCGTGTAAGCCCGGCATGGCTAAGCACTTAAGAAAGACTGTTGAACTTTTATTTTTATTTATTTCTTTGTTTTTCTACTTAATATTAAGAGGGACTGTAATGTTTAACATTTAACTTTGTTTTTTTATTTTTATACTTTGTACCCAAGATTCTGTACCTAGATACCGTTGTACCTAAGATGATGCTGGAAATGATGACATTGTACACTTCTCACTGTACTCGTGTACTTTTATACTTGAGTACATGTGACAATGAAATCTAATTCTAATTCTAATCTATGAATGGTCTGTCACTCAGATCACAACAATCTTATGGCTTGGAATCTCCAGAGACTCCTTTAAATAACTCCTTTCAACATTGACTCCAGCAACACTGAAACAGCAATAATGGGTCTTGTCTAATCCTCAAACTCTTGCCTTTCCTATCCTTCTGTTGTCTGTTCTTTCCAACTGTATATAACATGCATTGTACTACAATGTCTACTCTCAGAGACATGCTTCAATGTCAGGCTGTCCAAAAACTGTCAAAGAGAAAAAAAAAATCCAAAACTTTACAAATAGCTTTCTATTTACCCTTTACTACTGAACGTAATCTCAAGTCACATGGGCATTTCTTGAAACCTAATTATGCCATAATCAGGGAACCAATTAACCCACTTTCAGAATTACTCACCAGTCCCCTTTAGTTTTAAAGGGGTCTTTGCAAAAGGAGAGGCCACAAACTTTTGCCTGCACATGGCCGTCATAGGAGGGCTGGGGAAGAATGATCAAACCACTGTGGAGATGTGAGGCAGAGAATAAAAGGATTAATACAACTCATGTTGTATTCTTCCAATAGCCTTTTTGCCTGTGAGAATGAAAGAATGTCTTTTCCAGAAAATAACAGCCAGGCCAGGAATGACACTCTGGATAAGACTGAGAATGTTTTAAAGTCAGTTATACATGTTATGCATAAATAATTTTGCTTGTTCTATCTGGAGTCAGAGTTTAGAGAGATTTACAGACTTAGAGGGAACTTATGTGTTGGTCCCAGCTCGACATTAGCCTCCAAAGTGCAGAATCAGAACTGCTGGTTTCATGAGCAATGAAGCAACTTGATTACTGCTGTAGCTCCCCGTTTTCATCTTCGGGCTCTGGTAGCTGGGCAGACTGGCTGTCTTCAGTCAGAGGCTGAGGGGTGACCTTACAGAGGTTTATAAAATCATCAGGGGCATGGATAGGGTAAATAGCCAAGGTCTTTTTCCCAAGGTGTGGGAATCCAAAACTAAACATAGGTTTAGGGTGAGAGGAGACAGATTTAAAAGGGACTTAAGGGGCAACTTTCTCACGCAGAGGATGATGCGTGTATGGAATGAGCTGCCAGAGGAAGTGGTGGAGGCTGGAACAATTACAACATTTAAAAGACATCTGGATGGGTATATGAATAGGAAGGGTTTAGAGGGATATGGGCCAAATACTGGCAAATGAGACTAGATTGATTTAGGATATCTGGTCGGCATGGGATGAGTTGGACTGAAGGGTCTGTTTGCGTGCTGTACAACTCTGACCCTATGACTGTATGAAATCAGAAGAAGATAATTAGTGTGAGTATTGATGTAGGGTGGAATAGGAAGTAAGGGGATCATGGTCATATCACAACAACAACTTACATTTATGAAGTGCCTTTAATGTCATAAAACATCCCAAGGTGCTTTGCAGGAATATTATAAAATAAAATGAAAACCACTAAAAATGACGTTAGGTCATATGACCAAAAGTGGTAGGCTTTAAGGAACGTCAGAAGGGAGGAAAGAAGGTAGAAATTCAGAGAGGTTTAGGGAAGGCATTCTAGAACTTGAGCACTTGGCACCTAAAGGCATGGTCACCAATAGTGAATAGTGAGATTCAGATTGGCAATGCTGAAGAAGCCAGAAGTTCAGATGTATGGGTTGCGGGACTAGAGGAGAGTAAAGAAATATTGAGAGGTGAATTGTGGAGAGATTTGACTACAAGAATGAAAAGTTTTAAAATCAACATGGAACTTGAACATAGATTGGTGAGAAGAGGATGATAGATGATCCTGGGAGTTTGTCCAAATTAATTTAAAGGCATTAGAGCTTTGGTTAACTTTGAGATTCTGGAGTAGTGGAAGTCAGGAGTACACTGGAATAGTTCAGTCTAGGGATAACAAAGGCACAGATAAGAGTTTCAGCAGCAGATAAAGTGAGATGAGGATGAAGCTGGACAACACAGCTAAGTTAGAAATATGTGACCATAACTTTGGCACGAATGTGTGCAGGACCCCCGGGACAATGTTGAACAGTGGCGACTGGAGGAGCAGAGAGAGTGAAGTATACGGAGAGGGAAAGATGAATTTTTGAAGCTGTTTCAGATTTAGTAATATCAATTTCACATTAATTTATTCAGTATTTTACCTTTTATATAACTTATTTAAAAATTTATTCTGTAATCCAAGGACATTATCCAACTTTTACTGTACCGAGGTACAAATGACAATATATTAAATAAATGTAAATAAAACTAAAGTTCATCCAGGGTTCAAATATTATATCAAGATTGCTAAGGGGCTGGTGTGCTCTCTGATTCATACCCCATCAGCTGCTTGCTCAGCGTGTCAGATAGTTAGCTGAGTGTTTGCCAGGGGCCAAGAAGGGTCTTAGACAGGAATATGTCATCATCCTCATTTTTTTTCATGATGTTGGCTGCACCAGGCCTTGTTGAATCTGGCCCCTTGATTCTGTGAAGCATCTCCTCCATAGGGATCAGCAGAAGCAATTGTCCCTGTTACCCACAGGTTCAGCTCAGCTACTTTTGATTGCATGCCATCTCACCCTACAGAAGAAAAGGCGAAATATTAAAGTTTGTATAGCAATGTATTATTAATTAACCAGAGGTGTGTGGAAACAATGAGAGGTGAATGTGAGGCAGGTAGTGTTGGTAGGTTTGTGAGGTTGAGGTTAAATTTCCGCCTGGATATTAGGCATGAGCCCTGAGGACCAGGAAGGGCTGCTGTGTGAGAGATAGGGATCAGACGTATTGGGCAGCAGGAGATGCTCCTGTTGTGATGGATGGGAGATGTCACATGCAGACGCATTCACTGACCATGGCTTTCAGTAGCCCTGCTCTGAGGTCCCTTGTTTTTTTTTGTTCATTAACGGGATGAGGGTGTCATTGGCTAGGCAGCATTTATTGCCCATCCCTAATTGCCCAGAGGACTGTTCAGAGTCAACCACATTGCTGTGGGTCTGGAGTCACATATAGGCCAGACCAGGTAAGGATGGCAGCTTCCTTCCCTAAAAGGGATAAGTGAACCAGATGAGTTTTTCCAACAATTGACAATGGATTCATGGTCATCATTAGATGCTAGATTTTTTAAATTAAATTCGAATTCCACCACCTGCCATGGCAGGATTCAGACCTGGAGCCCCAGAACATTATCTGGGGCTCTGGATTAACATCGCCTCCCTGTTTCCCAACGTTTGGAGTTGACCATCCTGGTGATCCCGCCCCTGATCATTTCTGAGGGTGATCTTTTGGCACCTGGAGGACAACGCCCAAACCCCTTCCCTACAGCCCACCCCACCCCACACCATCACAGTATCTCTTCCCTCACCTACCTGCATCCAACACCACATCTGCCTTTCTGGCATTCTTTCTTAGCATTTCATTTTGAAATGACTTGCATTACAGCAACATGGTTGAGTACATTTTCTGTTTAAGATGCAGCCTATCTATAGGAGGAGGAAGCTGGCTATACCATATGGCCTGTGGGCAATGCTGCCTGGCCCTCCTGCTGTATAAAGGAGCTGCAGGAAACATTGAGGAACAAATAGTAATGTAGGAACCCACCCGACCAAACACCACAAATCATGTCAATGAGGAGGAGACACAAAATGTGTATCTTTCCATTTCACACAGACTAAAGTGTTAGCCCTGTGCCCATCTGCTGCTTGACTTGATGAGTCTTGTCCAGTGTTTTCTAATTTTAATTCATATTACATGAGGAAGACCAATCAGGAACTGAACGTAGTTGGTTTGATATTCTAGATATGCAGGCACTTGATGACTGTGTTGCAGTGTGACTTCTAGACGTGATCCAAACACTGAGGAAATGGGAGAGAAGACTGCTGATTGATGTCCAATGGTTCTCTCCAGTTTCCCATTCAGACCCGATCGAGACTGTATTGAAAGTAGAGACGGGATTCCACCCTCCACCCCCCAACCATTCCCCTACCCACTAACCCTAGTGGCTGCTGTTGGATTGACCCCAACTTGTTCTTTTTCTCTCTCTCTGATCTAGGAGCTTTGCCGCCAGCGTATGGCTGTCAAGACATCAGAGCGCCCGGAGCCCACTCACGCCTCTCGCATCAATAGCGTCTCCTCTCAGTTCAGTGATGGCCCACAGCCCAGTCCTTCCACCCGGAGCAGCACCTCTTCATGGTGTGAGGAGCCGGTTCAGTCTAACATGGACATCTCCACTGGACACATGATACTGGTAATCTCTCACCCTGAACCCACTCTTTTTTCTCCTATCTTTGCTCACAATCTTTCTGAGGAATATTTGACACGGGGTGGTGGTTCTTGGAGAAGATTAGCCCCTTCCCTTCTTGAAAGCTGCGCAAGAGAAGTAAATTGTGCATCATTCACCATGCATTGATGGGCTTAGAATAGACTAGAATAGCAATTTATTGTCACTTGTATTTATGAAAATATGGTGAGATGTGTATAAGTCACCACAATTCAGTGCCATTTTAATCCAGAAATGATAAATTATATGCACTGTTATAATTGGATAATGAAAAGTTAAAGCATTTGATCTAAAACACAGTGATGCTTCTGCACTGAAACTCCAAAATTTATCTCTCCTCCTAGCTCAGCGTAGCGCGGCACAATAAGCAGTTTTAGCCACAAAGCATCTGCTGAAAAGCAAAACCTGTATGTCATTTTAAGCAGTAGATCAGTCACCAGTAAATATTTGAAACAAAAACAAAGTTGCTGGACAAGTTCAGCAGGTCTGGCAGCATCTGTGAAGAAACAGAGTTAATGTTTCAGGTCCGGTGACCCTTCCTCAGAACAGGGTCATCGGACCCGAAATGTTAACTCTGTTTTATCCTTCACAGATGCTGCCAGACCTGCTGAGCTTTTCCAGCAACTTTATTTTTGTTCCTGATTTACAGCACCCGCAGTTCTTTCGGTTTTTACCAGTAAATATTTGTTTTGTCGCCAGTCAGAAAATAACCCTGACCATTTTATTTATAAGGTTCTTGGCTCCTCTGTACTGCTGAAGTGTCATTTCCATAAACCATATAATATGAGAGAATCTTACACCACAGAATAAAGCCCCCTTCAACCCATGATATCTATGTTTGCTCTTTGAAAGAGTGTTTTTTAAAATTTTCTCCCCTTCAAGTATTTATCCAAGTGTCCTTTCGAAAGTTACAATTAAATCTGCTTAATCTACCCTTTCTGTTGGTACATTCCAAATCATAAGAAGCTGCATTTAAAAAAAATTCCTTCATCTCAGCCTGGCTTGATGGTCAGTTACATTCTACCAGTGTCCCCTGATTACTAACCCTTTCAGACAGTGGAAAGACTTTCTCCAAATCAGTGTTTCAAAACATAGCACTTCGACTCAGATGGGAAGAATTAGTCTTGAACATTATAAAGATGATGAGCATGTTAATAACTTTAAGAAAAATGTGTTCGTGCCTCATCGACAGCATCCTGAAAATTATTAGTTCCAGAGATCAAGTAAATTGTGAACAAAACCTGGAAACAAAAACGTAGATGAACAAAGGACAATTAAACATCTGCACTAATTATATACATAGATTTGTCATGTATAATTAAAAGATTTCAGATTTCTAAACAATGGATGAATGCACTGAACACTGAGTGACATTCTTTGTGTATAGTTTTAAACATGCTGAATTCTCAATGATAATTTATTCTTTTTTATTCAATCATGGAACGTGGGCGTCTCTGGCTGGGCCAGCATTTATTGCCTGTGCCTAGTTGCCCTTGAGAAGGTGGAGGTGAGCTGCCTTCTTGAACTGCTGCAGTTCATGTGCTGCAGGTTGACCCGCAATGCCCTTAGGGAGGGTATTCCAGGATTTTGACCCAGTGACAGAGAAGGAATGACAATATATTTCCATGTCAGGATGAAGAGTAGCTTGGAGGGGAATTTGAGAACTTGCAGATGGTGTTTTTCTCCTACAACTACTGATTTACTTCCACTGAACTCAAGTGACATTGTTCTGGATATTTGTTTCAGTACAGTAAGCTCAGAATGATATTTTCCTGCGTGGAGATGTTAATAGACTGAGCCAACTCGGATTGTCTCGGTTGTCTCGGATTCTCCAGCATCTGCAGTTCCTACTATCTCTTAATAGACTGAGCACTGACTTACATTCCATCTTTACAGATTTTTATACACTGAGGTCTGTGTGATGTTAATCCTGTAATACATTTAGCAACACTGACTTTCTCCTGTTTTGGTTTAAGCGTTTGCGACCACCTCTGGTCTAAACGCAATGAGACTTGAACACTGCCTTCCTGTTTAAATACACTTATCGTTGCATTAGAGTCTAATGATAATATATTTAAGTAACAGTGCTGTGAGTGAGATTCTCCTGTTTATAAGTTTAAGCCCACTGAGACCTAATATATGTTTTTAATGCATAGATTTGAAAGTACTGAGCTCTGAGTGATATTTTCCTGCCTACTGATTTTGGTATATTGAGTGTATGTGATAGTCTCATGTCTGTAGATTTTAGTGCACTGAGCCCTGAGTGGTGTTCTTTTGTATGTAGACTTAGAAATGCCTATCACTGGGTGACTTATTCCTTTAAGTGTAAATGTACATATTCTGAACTGGAAGTGATAGTCTCACGTCCATATACTTAATACACTGAGCTCACAGTGACAATTGCCTCTATATAGATTTAAATATGGTAGTTTCTGTGTGTGTTTCCCCTGTGTACAGATTAACATAGAAAATAGAACATAGAATAGTACAGCATAGTACAGGCCCTTCAGCCCACGATGTTGTGCTGACCAATTCTCCTAATAAGATCAATCTACCCTGCATACCCTACATTTTACTGTCCTCCATGTGCCTATCCAAGAGTCGCTTAAAAGGCTCTAAAGTATCTGACTCCACCACCACTGCCAGCAGCGCATTCCACACGCCCACCACTCTCTGTGTAAAGAACCTACTTCTGACATCTCCCCTATACCTTACTCCAATCACCTTAATATTATGCCCCCTTGTAATAGTCATTTCCACCCTGGGAAAAAAGTCTCTGACTATCCACTCTATCTATACCTCTCATTATCTTGTACACCTCTATCAAGTCACCTCTCATCCTTCTTCGCTCCAATGAGAAAAAAGCCCTAGCTCCCTCAACCTTTCCTCATAAGACCTGCTCTCCAGTCCAGGCAGCATCCTGGTAAATCTCCTCTGCACCCTCTCTAAAGCTTCTACATCTTTCCCATAATGAGGTGACCAGAACTGAACACCATATTCCAAGTGTGGTCTAACCAGAGTTTTATAGAGCTGCAGCATAACCTCGCAGCTCTTAAGCTCAATTCTCCTGCCATTGAAAGCCAACGCAACATACGCCTTCTTTACAACCCTATCAACTTGGGGAGCAACTTTGAGGGATCTATGGACGTGGACCCCAAGATCCCTCTGTTCCTCCACATTGCCGAGAATCCTACCATTAACCCTGTATTCTGCGTTCAAATTCGACCTTCCAAAATGAATCTACCGAATCCTGAGTCACAATTCACTGTATATGGATTTTAGTACCCTAATTCTGAGTGTCACTCACCCAGAAATGTTCTATGTCCAATCTATGTACAGTTGTATACTAATTTTTTGACTCGTCTTTCAGTGACAATGTCCTGTACATTGAATAAACACTAAGCTCTGCATGACATTCTCCAGGACATAGGTCAAGATTTTACATTGCACTGAGTTTTCCGCATTCTCCGCTGCCCCAAGTGAAAAGATTTGTGTCAAACTCAACCGTAATGTGTGGGAATTACCAAGCAGAGATTTAACAAGAAGTGACGTGTTAATTCATACAATCCCTACAGTGCAGGAAGAGGCTATTTGATCCATCAAGTCTGCACCAACCCTCTGATGAGAATTCCACTCAGACCCAACCTCACCATTTCCCCATGGCCAATCCACCTAAATTACACATCCCTGGATGCTACAGACAATTTCGCATGGCCAATCCACCTAACCTACACACCTTTGGACTGTAGGAGGAAACCAGAGCAATCCCACGCAGATGCAGGGAGAATATGCAAAATCCACCCAAGGCTAGAATCGAACCGGTGTCCCAGGTGCTCTGCAGCAGCAGTGCTAACCACTGAGCCACCATGCTGCCCTTAGCTCAGGGCAAGACATCCCCCACAGCTTGTCTCATCTCTGCTTGCAGCCGGCCCTCTTTGATCCACGGCTACTGCTGTGCCTGCCTTCAGTGTCCCACGGAGACCCTCACTGGAACTAGATAGAGAATAATGTTAGAGAAGGGTTTTTTTCCAGAAGGATCAGGGCACAGTGAGCCCATAAAGGGTGTGCCAGTCATTCTTTCCTGGAAATAACCAGAGCAGTGAGACCTGGTGGGATTCAAATTTGGTCCTGCCCTCTGAGCAATATCACAGTGCCCTAGCAAGGTTACATGAATAAGCACTTAAGTGTCTCTTCAGTTAGCTTACTGAGCAGTCAGGCCACACCTCATTCTCTGGAAAGCAGAAGTTGATGTTGGGTCAGAGGTGGGTGCTTAAGCTCCATGGAATTGAACATAGAACAAATAGAACATAGAACGTAGAACAGTACAGCACAGTATAGGCCCTTCGGTCCACGATGTTGTGCCGACCTATTATCCTACTAAGATCAAACTACCCTGCATACCCTACATTATACTATCATCCATGTGCCTATCCAAGAGTCGCTTAAATGCCTCTAATGTATCTGACTCCACTACCAGTGCCGGCTACGCATTCCACACTCCGACCACTCTCTGTGTGAAGAGTTTGCATCCAATCTTATTCTTTTCTATTCATTTGTGGGATGTGCGCATCGCTGGCTAGGCCAGCATTTCTTGTCCGTCCCTAGTTGCCCTTAAGAAGGTGGTAGTGAGCTGCCTTCTTGAACCAGCTGTAGGTTGACCCATAATGCTATTAGGGAGGGAATTCCAGGATTTTGACCCAGCGACAGTGAAGGAATGGCAATATATTTCCAAGTCAGGATGGTGAGTGGCTTGGAGGGGAACTTGGAGGTGGTGGTGTTCCCGTATATCTGCTGCCCTTGTCCTTCTGGATAGAAGTGGTCTTGGGTTTGGAAGGTGCTGTCTGAGGATCTTTGGTGAATTTCTGCAGTGCATCTTGTAGATAGTACACACTGTTGTTCTGAGCATTGGTGGTGGAGGGAGTGGATGCTTGTAGATTTAATGCCAATCAAGTGGGCTGCTTTATCCT